ACCACTCTGGCAATTCGCTTCGGCGGAGTTCGCGTGAAATTTTATGATAACAAACGAAAAACCAGGTGACACGAGTTATTCATATCGACAGGCAATAATATATGCATGTCGAATAAAAATCGATTGATATGGAATTCAGACGAAAAATGATTACTTCATGTAAAATCTCAAATACTAAATATTGAAATAATATTCAAAATGAATATTGTATCATACAAAGAATTTATTTTATCGAGCGTTAATTCTGATGTAAGGTCGATATTTATAGTCAGTTCTTAATACCATTTTAATTCTTAAGACCATTTTAAGTACATTCTTTAGATGTCATAAATCAATCACAGAGTCGTATTAGATCTTAAGACATTATTTAAAACGGTCTTGAAATAAGAGCGGACTAAAGCCTCTCTCGGGTGTGCACCTGAGATGCGATAAATATATTATACATATAATCATATCTTGTCAATGTCTCATGATTATCGTGACGTATCGATTTTCACGAGCACTGTTTTAATCAGTCCGGAACCGAACAACGTCTCGGAGACCGATCGTTTGGCCAAGTTTCAAAGATAAGCAAATTCCGGCGAGAAAGCGAACACGTGAGACCCTTTGACGGAGAGTACCGCTCGACTACTATCCGACCATCGTCGTTAACGTCGTTTGTCTTCGTCGTCATCGTTCTCGTTCTCGTCCTCGTCGTCTGCGTCTCGTTCGCGGGAGAGTTCATAACTGTTGCGCTCGTTTGCTTAACGCCTAAGAGAGCTCTTTGCGTGGGTATTACATCCATCTAGACGGCGGATCGAAAGTTTTCGCGACTTATCCCATTATCGTTTCCCGCGGGTGTCGCGATCGTGACAGAATACAAGGGTGAACTGATGAGAAGCAGAGACTCCAAGTTGGTTGCGTTTTTTGGGATTTATACCTCATCACTCTGTATATCTCGCGTCTTTCGAAATTCCGCGGGAAAGTAATCGCGACCGCAAATTATCTTTCGTGTGCGAGCAGAGAATTTCACGTGAAAATTAAAATAATGACGATCTAAATATATTAATAAGAATAAGAAAGTTGTAAATACATCTCTCGGAATCTCGAGCGAAAATTATATTTCGATTCAGGCCACATGAGAGACTTCTCATCTCGTCAGCTCAGCATCAGCATTAGGTACTTTCGCTACCAGCTCCGTGTTCTTCGTTAAGTAGATTTATCACGTGCGAGTGCGGCGGAAGATATAATCGAATCTTCGGCGTGGCTTCCCGAATCTTATTAATCTTAACAATCTCACCGAATTGTCGCGACGACATAATTAGCCCGGCTTTTTTTTAAAAGAATACGTGCTGCTCTCTCTCTCTTTCCCTGTACGTCGCCATGGCGCTTCGTAATCGTGTGACGTGCTAATTAGCTGGCGCGTTAATTACGAGTGAATCCCGGCGAATAGCGATAGAGCGCGTTGACGCGGATTTTTTTTCAAGAAAGAGCTAATTAGCGACGGGGTCATTAGTATCGACCGATACGAGTCGCTAGTCCGGAAGTTCTCGTATCCGGAGTGATCGTTATTAAGAAGTTACAATGTACATGTGCATAGTACGGCGTTATATTTGTAGAAACAAATTTCATTTTAAACGTGTACATTTAAGACAATTTAACTTTTATGTATCCGTTTGTATTTATATTCTGAAATGTTCTTATTATCTCTAAAAAGTAAAAACATGTATTAAAACGTTTTATTATTATTATATGAAGTCGATATGAGATTTATGGCCCCAATTATTCCTACATATTAAATCAAATTATTAATAATTGCCATGAAAATTTTAAATGATTTCTGTGATACATTAGATAAAATGTCAGATAAAAGAACCCTGAAAAAAACTTAAATAACTTACTAAAGATATGAAATATTTTTCATCGTGTACTTTTATAAAAATATTATTTGAAAAAATAATACATCTTGCAAAATGGTATTTTCAACGTGGAAAGAAGAAGAAATTGGGACAATGTCAAGAGATACATAAAACACGGAATATAAGATCGTATACGTTCAATGACTGTTCGTTGATCCGCGATCTATAAAAGCAGGTTCGCGAACTCATCTCCCCGCTTGGCGGTGATTAAGTCAGACGTGGAAGGGGAGGAATGGCCCGCTGGAGACGTCAATTATAAGACCTTAATCGGAAACCCGTTCCTTATATTCTGTTAGTTTATATACGACCTTATAAGAGGTATCGCATATAAAGAGAATCGCGAAGGGGAGAGCGTTGCGAGGATATCGCGATATACCGGCGAAATCTTTCTCTTCTTCCCTTCCATTGCGGTTTTTATCTTTCCTCGCTTTAATCACAGCGACTTTCGGTCGATCTATGTCTGTATTTTCTTCGCGGTAAATCATGCGAGCAACGCTGTGTAATTTTTCTGATTGCGAACGATGGTATGTCAACTACGTTATATACCTGTGCAAGAACACAATCTTACTCAGGTCTAAGGTTGTTCATTACGGTAATGTGCAGGGCCGCGTTATACAGGGTGGGCATTCTTATACGTGTACGTAAAGTGGCTCGCAAGGGAGATCGCGTGATAGTCGGTAATAGCCGTTTTCTCGCGACTTCGCTTTTCCATAATAGCCGTTTAATAAAAATAATAGTAACCACTGTAAAAAAAATGTATACTAATAAAATTGACGATATGTTACGTCTAAAAAATGGCTCACATAATATATTAGAAAAATGCACACTTCTATTAGAATTTATAATGTAATAAATAATTTTAATACCTTGTGCACGCACACAAACCGAGTTCCTAACATTTATGCAAAAACGGAAAGAAGCAATTTCAAATCTGTCGGGAAATTCGCAACCGAGAAAAAGTCAGCGTAAATGTCTCGGACATTTCGTAAATGGGATATAGTAGTTTCGCGACACGAAGTGGCCGCTAACTATCGCGTTTCATTAATGCCTCATCTCATTCCGCTAACGTCGGAGATCGAGCGCGTGCGCTTGTTCCGACACTTCTGTCTGTCGTCGGTCGCGATTAAGCGCTGCTTGTTAACTCCTAAGGACAGGTGAGACCGACGCGATTGTCGCGCTTACGTTCACAACGCGATAAGAAGAAAATTTGCAAGTCCGCGACACCGATCTCGTCATCCTCCAATGCCCGTGCGGAATTTGTCGCCGCCGGGGCTTTCTACTTTTCCGCGCGTCGAGCATTTAAGGTAAGTCAAATCGTACCTTACTCGTGCCTGAATTGTGCCAACGATTTCTACCGCGCGTTAAACGAGCGACATTGAAATTTTTAGCGCTCAATGTAGAAAGCGATTTCTATACGTTAATCTACTTTCATCTCAAATTCTTAGCAATATAAAGTGCAGTCTTCTACCTTTAAAACTTGTCGTTTTTTAATCTTCGAGTTTAAAGCAGTTTAATATTTAATATTTAAGTATTAATTTCATGAAGCACGAGGAGACGTTCGAACATTTAATTATAATTAATTAAAAATAAAATATAATATATATTCTTATATAAAATGCCATATGAATATATATCTTTTTTACAGATTAAATCTGTAATATATACTTATAGAGAGAGAACTCTGGAATAATATATTTTAATATTTCAATGTACTGCAATTTTGTAATAAATTCAAGCTCGAAACCACGCAAATATTTCTCTTAAAAGGAAACACAGTTCCATTTCGATATTGATGAATAAATTGAAGGAAGAAAGAGAAGCTGAGGATATTGATGAAATTTCCTATCTAAATACGATGTCATTCGCACGGCTTTCAGAAGCGTGTCTCTCTCCCGAGGGAGGCGCACAACCCCGCCGCCGTTCGTCACGTTCGGCGTGATAAATCGAGCGCGGAAGGTCGTCATGTGCGAGAGAGTCAAGCGGCAGATTCATCCGGCAGCGGTCCACGACGAGCTACCGGGGCAAAGTGGGGACCAGTGGTCTCGACGACGCCGAGAGAGAGAGAAAGAGAGTGAGATCGAGCGGTGGAGAGGTGGAAGCGCATTGAACCGCCGCCGGCAGCAAATTGGACCACCTTCAAAAACTCACCGCTCGTTACGCACCGACGCGACGCGACGATGTCGGCGTGAGCGACGGCGCATACTACTAATCGACGATTACGAGGCGGCGTTCGCGCGCCTACGAGAGTATAAAGAAGGAAGCTCGCTCTCTCTCTTTCTCTCTCTCTCGATGTATACGCGATACACGCGACGACGGGGCTCGACGCGAGCCGACGCGATGCGCCGCGGACTCTCGCGACTTACGTGGCGGGTTAAATATAAGCGCGACGCGGCGCGTCCGACGACGAGAACCGAGTTTCTCACAGCGACATCAAGTATTACTCTATGGGAATCCTCATTTTAGAAACTGAGGGTTATATTGTACAAGAAAAATCAATATATGTATACGCCAGCATTTGCTTCTTACAATATAAACACGGAAGAAAATTTAATCTGAAAATCATATGGTAATCGTAAGGGAATATGCGGTATTGGACGAATTTTACAAGAGTTTCTCTGATTAATACTTAACACAATAAAAAATATTAATATGTTATAGTAACATCCGTAGATTAAAAGGTTGTCCACTGAAATATGAATTAATCGAACATATTTTATATTTTATTATAGTAGATATTAATCCTTTTATACAATTCTCACATACTATAGTGTTCCACGGTTACCATGATTTTCAGGGTAAATTCTAAGAGAAAATTCTCTTCGCGAATAAATTTTTTGTCACACAAAATGAATAAGAATTAATTTTGCAACAGAGGAATTTTAGAAGACTTCTGTAAAAAGCGCAACAAGTGTCCAAAAAAATGAAATCTCTCGAAATAACAATAATTCGGAAAAAAATTCGCTAGAATAAATATTTTCCTAAATGAAGTATCATTTAAAAAACATCCTTTCTCATCACGTAAAAGCTCGCTTTCTATCGACATTCTAGCGGTCGAGCGATTCTCTGAGAACGGAGTAAAGTCGCATAATTTCTGAGGCTCACCGTAATCTGGTCGAGCGACAGCCTGGACGGCCTGCTCGTTCTTCTTGCTTCGAATCACCGGCGGTCCGAGGATCGTGAAGTTCCTGGGTCCCACGCGGTTCACAAACACTAGATACACTTTGCCCCTTTTAATATTGGCTCGCACCACACCACTCGGATTATCGCGCTGCTGCTTCCCGGCTTTATTGCCGGTCTCGTGGCCGTTGCACACGGTAGACTTGCCGGGCGCCGATTTGTCGCGAAAGTGCAGCCGCACGCTGTCGTTCTTCTGCAGCGGCTGAAAGCCCGGCTGGCTCTTGTAGACCTGCTTCACTTCGAAGGTCACGGCGTAGTTCGAGCCCGGCTTTCTCAGCGAGGACATGCTGCGGACCTTGCCCTCGAACACGGTGGGCGCCAGATAGGCCCGATTACCAACGTCCACATCGGGACACCAATTCTGTCCGCGGCAGCCTCGCTCCTTATTTTTGCAGCGACGTCGCTGCTCGCGCGGCGAGTCCGCCTTGACGCGGTTCTTTGGTAGTTGCTTCGCCGATCTGGCGATCCGCGGCCTTTCCATCGACGATTCCGCTGGCGTCGACGCTATCGTTAGCGGATACGCGAAGGGTGGCTGCGTCGAGGAGTGACGGGGCACGCGAGTCAGACCGGACTCGTTTATCTCTGGGTGAAAGGCGCGGCTGACAGCAGAACGCTCCTCTTCCATCTCCTTCGCGGGATCTATCGACGCGACCCAACTTCCGAGCGACGATCCTCCATGGGTCGAGAGGCGTCGCGAGATTCCTCGCGTGTCATCTCCCGGAGAAGAATGTTCTTCCTGGTCCACTGGCCTCGGCTCGACCTTGTCAAGGTCGCGACGAGCAGGACGAACGTCGGATTGATATTCCGTGATTTCGCGCACGTCCTCCCGACCTACCAGGCTCGTCGACGATGACGACGGTGGTGGATAACGCCTCGTCTCGGTGACGCTGCTCGTCGTCGCCCCGAGGGTGTCCCTAATGGCGGGGGGTGCTGCAGCGAGCGCCAGTGCGCCCCACCAGCCACTTAAGAACCCGGCCAAAAGCAGAGGCGCCCACATCATCCAACCTGATTAGCGGTGTGATTCGGGGGTGAGGTCGACACCTCGGTCACCCCGATTCTCTTCCTTCTCTCTGTCCCCTTTCACTTCGCCGTAAGCACTTGCGTGTCCTATGTTTAACCAAGTCCTTGTCTCTTCAATTTGATCCTCTCTCGCGACAGTAGGTCTTGCTCACGATCGAGACGACTTTTGCTATTCGTCGTCCCGATACGAATAGCCAACCAAATCGGATCCTCGAACTCTTCACGAGATGTTGTACCATCGATAGTGGAACGTCGGGGCTTCTTCGACATTCGTCGTCTTCATCCTACGCGATATCATTCTCCTCATCCTCGAAGCCCGGCGGAGGTAGGCAGCCGGTGTTGTATTCGGTATTATCGCAGATGGTCCCGGCCAGCGGCTGCGACGATCGCGGACGCGATAATCAGCCTCGAGCTTTCATGGATTCTGATCATTATGATTCGCATACATCCACACCATCATCCTGAGCCGACTTGAACGGTCTCGTCGATCCGTTTACTTGGGATCGCGAGGTTCCAAAGTCTTGTCCACACTTTCGCGCGAGATCGAATCTTGTATAGTCGACGACTTCCGAATGATGAAGAGTTAAGTGTTCTCTAGTCCACGTGTTCGCTCGCGTTAGTAGGCAGACGGAACATATCGACCTTGCAGCAAAAAACACCCGCGAGGATCATCAGAAACGTCGATTTCCTACGATCCGACATCGAGTTGAACCGGGATGTCGTGAGCGATCTTCTCGTCGATCTCTCGCGTTGCCTCTCGAGAAAAGCGAAATATTGAGAGAGAGAGAAATGGGTCGCGGTCGAATCGGGCGTCGGAGACGAGAACGGGAATACGAAGACGGCGACGACGACGATGAAGAAAGCGTCGGCTTCCTCTCTGACCAGCCGAGATACTATTTAAATATACCCACGAGACGCCCGCCACTAATCTTTCTCTCTCTCTCGGTTTTTGCGGCCGCCCGCCCGCTCGGTCCTTCGCTTTTCTGCACTCTATTAGCACTTATTACACTCTTTTCGCGGCCGCGCGCGTCACGATTTCTTCCCGTTTTTCTTTTCTTGCGGTACCGAAGAATCTCACCGCACGATCCACGTTGCAATTGTCAACCGCGCGTTATCACACACTTATCTCGTTCTGAACTCTCTCTCTCTCTCTCTTTTTTTTTTAAATCTCTCGCACGCGCGCGCGAGAAAAAGCGTTTCCTCTCGCGTAATAAGACGGTCTCGCGGCTCCGGACGCGAGATGACGACGACGGGGGGATCGAGTCGCGTGTGTCGCACGCGGCATGCACACACGAGGCGCCTACCTCGCGTGTCACGCGTGTCGCGAGAGCCGGAGGAAGGGAGAGAGATCGTCGGTGGCCCCGCGTCGGGCGCGCGCGACGGTTCAAATTAGACTGAGCGGCCCGCTCGCGTAGGCCGAGGCCGGCCACAGCGCCAGCGGCGCCTGGTGGATGCCGGTCGAGGCTTGCGCGCGCACCCGCGACCGCGCCGAAGTGAGACGGAGCGACGACGGGACCTTTAAGAACCTGTATAACAACGACCTAACAACCGAAGGAACCGCACGCGTGATCCTCACGGTCCTTTCCTTCTCTCTCTCTCTTGCTCTCTGTCTGTTTGTCGCTCTGCTGCTGCCGCCTGCTGCGAGTTTTCTCTCCCTTCCTGCGGCCCATTGTATCTTTTCCTCTTTTTCTCTTCTTCGCTCTTCGTCATCTCTTCGCTATCTTCGGCGAGGAAGGCAGAAAGAGAAAGACAGCTCTTTATCTTTCGCATTCGGTCGTACTCTTCGCTCGTACGGCTGTTCGTCATCTTTTAAATTGTACTCGGTGGTATTCTCTTCTAGTCTCTCTTCTTGGCACGATCGAATCGTTTTGATTATAATATATGCTAGATGGACGCAGTAGTGTTTGACTTCTAGTAAAAGGATATACGGATTCTGTATATCCGCGCAGAATCATAATATATTTTCATAAATATAGAAAATTATTAATAAATGGCATTAGATCCTTAAAACTATCGATACCTTTCGTCTGACAGTTTTTTATCCTCGAACCTGAGGAAAATTTCGGACAATATTACATTTCTAAACATCTTTGTACATAAATACACAGATACTTTTATCCCTGGTCTCCCCTACGTATAAGTACATAATATATGTATACAGTATATATTTAAAGAGACATTGCCGATAAAATTGACAGGTCAGAATTTTATATTCACCGATTGATTGAAATTGAAAAGGTTGACGATAGGAACACAACGTTTGATTGTGACAATAGTATAAAAGCCCTCGGACGTAGCGATTACAGAAGATAATGGGGCTATGTCAAAGTCGATTCTCCCATGTAAGGTGATTTCGCGTGTTTTACACGTATAATCCAATGCTCCTGAACCGCGATGTCCGCGAGTATAATTAGATATATCGACAAAGCGCGTGTTGCGGGATGGACCACGCTCGCATCGCACCTTTGCCAATCGATCGTAATCGATCGATCAATGATTGTAGATACCTTGCGCTTCGCGGCACGGAACCGAATTTCGATTACGATTCTGACCGATTCGCGTGCGTGGACGTCAAACGCTGGGGGCTTTAATCATCCCAAAATCCGCGCAAACATTCCTGCTGTAATCATCGGGTCGGTACGCATCGACTTGAAAGCGCGAAAGAATCACGCAAAGAATTATCGTCGATCGAAACTTGATCAATATCTTCCAAGATATCATTCTCGTTCTCTTCTTTTAATTTTTTATATATATTACAGTATTCTCTATCATATTAACATAAGATTTCTTCAGTATATATATATATATAAAGCGTGATATTTTTAATTCAAAAAGAGAATAGTTGCTATAATCAGTTCGTGGCTACACAGTAAAAATATTAATATCTATTACAAAAGATATAAAATTATGTTTGATTAATTTTACATATTAATGTTTTTTTATTGTGGTAAATATTAATCAAAGAAAAAATCGTAAAATTCTTCCAATATTGTTCCACGATTACGGTACCAATAATTTTCAGAATAAATTCTAAAAGAAATTCTCTCCGTGTAGTGGCGAAATTAAGTATTGCAAAACAAAGATATCAACCTTAAAAAAAACCAAGTTTACAAAAGATAGATATCGAGCATAAAATTAAATGTATTAAAATAAATCGCATATGTCATTATTTGTCCGAGACTATTTAACATTTAAATCGGATCATATTCAATATCTCGTTTGGCTGCATTTATTATTTATCTACATTGAAAAAATATTATGATATATATATTTAACTTTAATAACTTTAATGAAAAAATATTCTAGTTCTTTTTTTTAGACAATTTCTGCACCGTGATATCTTTTCAGTTTATGAAAAAAATAGAGATAAGCAAAGCAGCGCAGCTTCGTGGCACAATTCAAGTACGCGTTCAACGGATAAGCCGCAAGGTAGATTTTTATCGTAGCTACCGGTTGCATTTTTGCAGTCAATAGCCCAATAGAGGTTTCTTCGATCGGGTATAAGTTCCGGTGATGTTGCGAAAAAGGGACGCGGGTTTTACCGGGATAAAAGTTCCTCCCGTTCTGTCGACCATCTGTCCGTAAAGTAACCCTTTGCGGTCGAGACGGACTTTACATAGCGCTTTTATGACAATCGTACACATATACATATTTTCTCGAATCCTTGAAACAGCGAATGACTTAATTTGTAAACTCGTATTTTTTTCCTTTTTAGCGTTTTCCTTTATGAGGCAATACTACAACCAGCGGAAATAGAGCTGTTAAACAATGCTGATAATAACATTGGACGAACAAGATAGTAGTTTTTTTTTAAATTAGTTCAGACTTTGTAAAAGACCGATATTATTAGAACGTTTAAAAATGTTCTTGAAATAAAAGATATCTAATAAAAAAAATATAATTGTACTTTTTGCGTTAATTAATAATTAACAAAATATTAAAGAATCTTGATATACGTAACAAAAATAAATATTTCGACTAATTTCAACTAGACACGGTTTTAACAAAACTTCAGACTGAGAGTCGGTTAGAGAGATATACTAGAACTTGAGCAATAAATTAAGACAATTATGGTCAAACGGGGAAACAGCAATTCAAAAGTTTGATGTTTTCATCGACAATATATTGCAGTTATGTACTGTAGTTAATGTACCCTGCTTACGTTTTGACTGCATTGTAAATGAGTTTCCTGAATTTTCAAAGTAATAGCGCTATATGCGAATAGAGAAAAAAAAATTGCATACATCTATTTTGAATCTGCAAAAATATAAAAAAACAGCATATATGTACATATATTCAAGTTTTGTTACTAACAAGAAAACAGCCCGAGAAATCTATGTCTGAGAGGAACTCTATACGAGAAACCGCAGTCTCCGAAACATTCTGTATAAATGATCAGCTGCTCTGCGCGCATTTCATAGAAATATACTTTGCTTACACGAAAAATATACATCCACGAATACGATTGCGACGGTAGGGCTCTTTCACTAACAGCAGGAACGAACGAATGACGCATCGGGCGTACGTGTCTCGATATAAAGATTCGATTCCCAGGGATATTTCCCGAGACACACACACACATATACGAAAGGCAGACGTGGAGGAGTGGTGCGTTTCCCGTTGACTTGTTCTAAAAGTATCGGGAAGATGCATGCGGATATATACATAAGAGAGATATACTTTTCTCCTCTCTGGAGATTCATCGTACGGGCGAAACACGAATAAAAATGGCACGGTGCATGTCCGGGCCCTCGTAAGTGTCTCCCTATCGAGAGGGAAGGATTTCCCCGAGAACGCGAGCAGCGAGGAAGATGAGCTCTTGCGCTTCTTATCGAGACGTCTTTTTATCGACGAACGATGCGCTCGATCGCTCAGACTGCAAATGAGGATGTTATTTCAAAATAGCAATAATCCCGTTTATTTTCGTCCCCGAGACGCGAGGCCTTCAGATTCGAAGAAAAACGAGGAGGTAAATCCTCTCCAAAGTAAAAGATCTGCAAACAAGTACGTATATTTAGATAAACTTCTTTAATAAGCATGCGCCTATATAGTAGATCGGGAAACTTTTCACTTTTAATGTTAAATCTCTGTGCTTCTTATTAGCTTCGAAAGCTATTCTTCTTAAAGAAGGAAACAAAGAAAAGGCGTATTATTAAAATAACATTCTTATAACAGTCTTGATATTATAATACATAAGCTATCTCAGAAATATATAATTAAATAATACCAAACTACCTTTTGTTTAAATTCTATAGGTGTACTATTTTTTTTAAACTGCCGAGTATAAAATGTAAAATGAATAAACTATGTAATTCTCAGAAATATCGAACATGTATAACATAATATTAAAAATTATTGATCGGCTTGTGTAACAATTAGCCCTATTATCTCTAAAAAGTTATACAATTTAAATTCTCGTTTTACGTGTGAGTTTTAATTTGCGTCGTCAATTAAAATGCATTCGAAATTACTCTGTATCTCATTCTCGCTCTTTCGTACACAAATATTAGCTATAATATGATTAAATTTTAAGTGTTTCTATATTACACCTGAAATTTAGTTACTATATCTGTATTTTAGCTGCAGTAATTAATATTTTTAATTACTATTTAATGGAGAATTCCCTGTTCGACTATAGCTTAAAAATATTAGTTACCACAGTGAAATTTTAGTAAATATTTTTTTCCGTATAGATCGCGTAGATACAAATCGAAACTTCTAGAAAGTTAGGTGACATGTGCGATATGACTTCGTGATTCACCGGTTGAGATAACCGGACCTGTTCATTCAAGAATCAACTGTTGCGAGAAATCAAGATCGCAAACATATATATGTATGTATTATCGTCATTGAATGTGGTAAAGTCCGCGCAAGAATATTCGAGAAAAAAAGAGGATCTTATCACGTTAAAATAGAATTTCTTATATAAGAACTAAGAAAGAAGATTAAATATAAAAATATGAGCAATAATGATTGAATCTTACGAAAAAGTTTTGAAGGAAAAGCAAGATGAAAATTTTATATAAATTTTTAGTAATTTTTTCTCCATATTGCTGATATGCTATAAGTAAACTAATAAGATTGTCATATCAACGAGCAATTAAGCTCATTCTAAAAATCATTGTACATATTCAAGAAATATAAATAATTTTAACTGTGTGACGTTTGCAAATGAAAATATCGCGATTAAAATATATTTCCTGATATATAAAAAAATTCTATAAAACATACAAAAAATAAAAACAGACATATTTTTAGAAATAAGACCTGTAACTGTATAGAATTTCCGTAGAAATGATATGTAATTATAAGAGCTATCGTCGAGAAAAGAATTACTTCGACATCATTATAAGAGCTAACATATTATAGATATTCGATAAAATCGTAATTGTATTGATAACGGCATTACGATTATCCGCACTGACAATTGAATATTTCAATATAT